GGACGTAAGCCATCACAAATATCAATAATCAGCTCAGTATCATGAGCACGATCCCAAAAAGGTCTTCTTCCTGTCATATATTCCCACATAATCATGCCAAAACTATAAATATCTGAAGCTGTGGTGTATTTTTGCCCTTGAAGAACCTCTGGTGCCATATAAGGAATGATCCCATAAGTTTCATTAACGTCAGCTTCAGTAGCTGATTTACTTAATCCTAAATCACCTATTTTAATGCTGCCAAATATTGATAAGTTTTTGTCTTCGTTTATCAAGATATTTCCACTATGAAGATCACGGTGGATAATACTCTTCTTATGAATATTTGATAGGCCATATGCAATATACCATAAATGATATAACTTTGCATCCCAACTAACATTAAAAAAATCATTAGCTATATAATGGGATAGATCTCCTGTATTACAATAAGACATAATTATCACAAATTCTTTGGTATTAGGATCTTGCGTAATTCCATAATACGAAATAATGAAATAGTCTTTTCTAAATTGATAAGATATTTTAAGCTACAAAAGATTATTAATTGATATATTTAAGATAAATTAAATTAAATAAATAAGCATATAAATATATAATACCTCGTTTAACTCCTTAGAAGTAAAGTTTTTAGAATTGTTAAGTTTCTTAAGAGCAACTTGTTTATTAGAAATCCGATTATATTTATGTTCTTTATAATTCCAACTCTTTATTGTACCATCAATCCAAATAGCTTTATAAACTTTACTAAATCCTCCCTCACCAATAATTTCTATATTTTTGAATTGATCGTATGGAACAAACTCCATTTTTCCTTGCTTTATTTCGTTAGTTTGTGTATATTCGATAAAATCGTCTATAATCTTGTTTCCAATTGGATTCAAGGTTATATTTGTTCTATAACAAATACGGCAAACCTCATAATTCTCTTCAGAAGGTTTTCTTATTTTTTTACATTTAATACATTTCTTAGACTTTAATTTAACGACGGTTTGGGTTTGCTGATCTTGTGTCATTTGAAATTAAAAAGTCGATTTTATGTTTAAAATTTTTTAGTTGATATTGATTCATGATTGATTATTTTTGTAAATTCGTCTCAGGCATTCAAAACCACCTATATATATACTGTATATTCTCAACGGAAATTCCGAATTTAAAAAAGAATTCCATCAATTTCTTCGAACTTCTAAAAAGAAATGCAAGGTTTATTTTCAGGCAATGATATTCTTAAATACTATTTATAGATCTGCAAGGAAATTCCTAGCGAAAAACTTCTTATTATTAAACAAGTAAACTTTGAACATGACGGGTCGGGAGCTTTAAACAGTTCTATTTATATTTAAAGCTTAAAAATTTTAATATAAGACGATTAATATTCATAGTTAAAAATTTATATAAAATTTTATAAAAAAAAATATTTGATGTTATTAGATCATGTGATTATCTGTTTTTATTAAATTGCAATTAAGCTACTAATTGTAATATATAGTATTTAAAGATTTAATGATAATATAATATTTAAGTTTTATATTCTGCTAAAGTAAAAGCATTTAGTATTTATAAGAATTTATTTTATAAAAATATTTTATAGTATATTTAATACTTTTGAATGATTTAAATTTTGATATTAACAAATTTCAATATTATTTAAAACTGATTTATCATCATATTTATTATTAACTAATTTAATGTACAAATCATTGAAAGTGTAATTTACATATTTAATAAAAAGATGTGAAATTTAATTTTAATATATTTAATTGTAATATATTTTTAATTTATTAATTTATTCTTATGCTTATATGGGAGCTTTGCAATAGAAAGGGAGGAAACTCTAAAAAAATTTTTTTTGAATTAATATTAAATCTGGACTTATTTTACTAAAAAAATCATAATTAGCTTAAAAAATAAAATTTTAATTTTTTTAGAGGTTCCTTCCTTTCTACTGCAAAGCTTCCATATATATTTGTGTCTAAAGTATAGTGAAAGGCTTAATATTCTAAATATATTTTAATGTATATATTCATACATATGATAGCATGTGATTTTAAAGGGTTTGCTAATTTATTCATCAGGCTCTGATTGGTTGGTATAATTAAGATTAATTAGGGTTAGGATTATAGCTTAAGTGATTTATCACTGGCATAATACTGGTAGTATTTTAAGTATCTGGAAGACTGGAAATTTTTTTTGGTATTAATATTTATTTGTCATCCTCTTAATATGTAACAAATAACATAATTAAATATACCAGCCAATCAGAGTCTAGAGGGTAAATTAGTGAAATCAATTTTGAGCAGTTAAATATGTCATGATCAATATTATCTATTTTTACATATATAACTTATAATTAACAAAAAAAATAAATATAAAATATATGTTTTATTTTATTAATAAGTATTTTTAAATTAGATAATTATTCAAATAACAAATTTAAAAAGTTGTATCTTTGATTTTTAACTTTAAATATTAATATATTATATTTATATTATTTATATTATTAATTCATTATGCTGATCAGAAAAAATCCTATATATTTCATAAGGAGAAATCTTGCAGATTATTAAGATAATCCATAAATTTAACTATTTTTAGTACTAAAAATGTGGCTTTTTTGTAATATTATATTGAAAGTTTGCTAGGAAAATAGAACTCTAAGCATTTTTTATTAAAATTTTAATTTTTATTGCATTTTAATTTTTGATAATGTTAGATTAAAATGCAATAA